CAATGGAGATGCTGAAACACACCTAAAATGGCTGTGATCAAATTCAACTGTTTACTCAATGATAGCAATTCATATCAAAAGCTTCATCTGATATTCACCGTATCTAACTCAGAACAGTAAGCCACTGTCTGCAGCCCCAGTGCCCACTTCTTTAGTGATGAAATACCCTATGACGTAAAGGAAAGGTTTCATTTGGTCCACAGTTTCAGGTCTCAGCTCATCATGACAGGGGGTTGAGTGGCAAGGCAGAGAAGCCTGTATATGACAGAGGGCAGAGAGAGAAGATGCCTGTATTGGGGCTTCTTCCTTTATTCTTAAAACGATTTTTTAAGGGTATGTTTACCTGCATATATGTATATTACTTGCATGCAGTGCCTGCAAAGGCCAGAAGAGGGTGCCAGATACTTAGAACTAGACTTACAGATAGTTCATGTGGGTGATGGGAATAAGCCTGAGTCCTCTGCAAGAACAGCAGGTGCCCTTAACTACTGAGCCATTTCTCCAACCCCACACTCCCCCCTTTATCCCCACCAACATCCCCAGCCGACGGCACGATACCATTTCTCCAGTCCCATTCGGGATGAATCATTTCCTGCCATCCCTCTAGTTAAGTCTTTTTGGAAATGTCCTTCACAGATATATCTGGAGGGTGTGCTTCATTTGCCTGCTAGGTGCTTCTAGACACAGCCGAGCTTAGCCGTTAGCACTCAGTCACTCTCGGACGCTATTCAGTTCACCTACAAACACAATGAGAAGCACCTACAATACAAACTGCACAGACAGCATTGGATGGTAGATATCAGACAGAACGGCAAAATATACTGCATAATTCCACTTAGATGAGCTTTAAAGATAAAACTAAGCCCTGGGGTCAGCCGTCAGAATCGTGGCTGCTTTGAAGGCACGGAGAGGAGGCGCGAAGAATTCCTACAGCATAGAGACTGTTCTGCTTCTAGACTTGGCGGGCATTACACTGACTCGGTGCTTGATCAAGCTATTCACTTACAATTTACATGCCTGACTGCATGTGCTCCTTGAAGACATCACACAGCCACAGCTCCACAGAAAGAGCAAAGCCAGGTACGTCATCTTTGTGCTTATATAACGAAGAAGATCCATTCGTCCTTTTAAAGGTACATTCTCTACACCTTGACATTAGAGCCGACATTAGTCACGGCTGCCACTTCAGAAAGGCAGGCCACAGAATAAGAGAACATACCCGGGCAGCTTCTCTATCAGTGTGAAAGTCACGACAAGTGAGAGCCGAAATAGATGAGGAGAAAAGAGAAGGTACGGCAGAGACACGGGAGGGGACTTCTCATGCCCTGCAGCTGTCCGTTCCTGCTGTGTTCACCTGATCAATGCTAACACGCCAGTACCATTTCCAAGGAGGGACTGCAGCCATTCTTGGTAAGGCTCAGTGTCCCTACTGACCTCTAATCTGTGGCTTTTTCTTGAAATCTAGAGACAATGGCTGCTGATCCCTCAGCCTGATGAGTTCCTATTCATCCCTCAGTGTGTTATTAGGTAGGTTGTTTATTTCACACATGGAACTTCTCTCATGTGCCTTGTGCTAAAGGTGAAAAAACTCTTGTTTGACGAATGGACAGTCCAGTTACAGAGCTCTTCTATGGAAGGCCTTAGCTTCCCCTCACCCCCGCTCTCCCTCTGCTTCCTTCTCCCTTCCTTTCCCCCTCCCTTCAACCCGAACTCCTTCCCTTTCTCTTTTTTTCCTCCCTCCCCTTCCCCTCCTCCCCATCCTTTCTCTCTTTCTTTGCCTTCTTAATGGGAACAACTGAAACATCTCTTCGTATTTCATTTCCACTTTCTAAGCTAAAAAAAGCTCTGGAACTCTCCTGCCCTACTTCCATCCAGGCAAGCACAGGACTGGAGAGCTGGAGAACTCCCCCTTGATCCAAGCAGAAAGCAGGGGCTGCAGCCTTGGTGAGCACGATTCCTGACTGTCAGCCCACCCTGCCCAGGACTAGGGGCAGCGCACGCATGCACGCACACACACACGCACACACACACGCACACACACACGCGCGCACACACACATGCGCACACACACACGCACACGCGCACACACACACACTTGTGTTTTCGTCTGCCTGGGTTGCTGACATGTTCTCCACACTATTGTGTGTGTGCTAGGAGAATCAGCCAGGTGACTTCAGTCCCCGAGTGTCCTTTTGTCCTTAGTGATGGAGCTGGGAAAGCTTTTTCCTCCAAGGTTAGCCTGTACTGATCTCACGACCTCCTGGACTGAACAGAGGCTCTCACCCACAGCTTCTGTAAGGGGGGGGGGGGGACTCACGTGTCCTCCCTGCCAACCCCGTCTTCTTCCCTCTCTTCATGCTCTTGAGGCCCTGAACATTTTTTTTTTATTACTTATCCTTGTGACTTCTGAAGGCTATGTTGCTATAGCAACCCAGGCCCACTGAAGTGTGTAAAGGGCCTGGTATCAGGAAGAGGAGCCATTAGCTGTTTCCGGAGTCCATTTGAAAGAGAACACAATTGCTCCTCACAGAAGAGGCACCACAGGACCATTTCATAGCTTCTGCAGGCGGTGAGGGCCCGAGAGCCCCAAATGAGGACGAGGACAGACACTGTGGCTCACCAGTGAACGATCCTCTCAGCTCTCAGTCCGCAGCCCGCACAGTTAGCTCTCTCTCTCTTCATTTCCACCTTGGCTGCGTACCTCCCTACCTCCACACCTCTCTCTTCTGTGGACCCAGGCTGCAAACAGCCACGCCTTGTCCTTTGCTCCATCCAGCTGCTGCTTCTCCCTGTGGCCAACAGGACCTTAGAAAAGGCAGGTCCTCTCTCTCCTGCCCATAAGCCTCCAGCAGCTTCTGCCAGGGTATTGCTGCCAGGATATTGTCACCAGAGGTTGCCTGCCACTTGGCTGTCTCTCAGCCGCAGTTCCTGCCTTAGCCTTCCAATGCTTGTTCATTCTGGATCCTTTTTGCTCCTTCCTGACACCAACTTCTCCATCCTGAAACAGGGCATTCTCCCCAGTTCCTCAGCATCCCTACTGCTGTTACCCTGTTCATGCGCTCACAGCAAGTGTCCCCATACGTGGCTGTCCTTTTGTGAGATCTTTGCTCATCTTCCCCTCCCGAATTAAAAAAAAAAAAGATGCCTGTCTCTTGTTTGGGCCTCAAGCAGCGAGCCAGCTCTTAGTAACCTACACTTTGTGTGCAGATGAAGGAGATGCCCAGTGTGTTCCATTGCACCTCAAGAGTTACGTCTCCCCACATCCCTCCATCCCCCCGGCTGCAGTTTCCTTCCACTGCCCTGGTCACCACACACCTTGAGGACTGGGTTCACCACATGTGGGGAATGTGTGGGAAAGAACATAGAGAGCGTAGCCTCCAGGCATGTCACATCTGTGCAACAGGGCCAGAGATGCATCAGCAAAGGCTGGTCCTAGGCTTCCTGAGATGTGTCTATGTAGGCAGGCATCCTTGTGTCCGCTCTCAGGATGCTACTTCTGTTCAACTCTTGCTGCCTGTACCTTGCACACACTTCTCTCTTCAGCCTTTAAGCTAGATAGCGGGTCATTCCTTTGCCACCTGTCATAAGAGTTAAAGATGCAGGGCTGCCCTCTGCCTACAACAGTTTCTGTTATGGAGTTCTCACTCAATCTCTAGGACACTCTGCAAGGAAGCCCTGCCTTAGTCCCATGCTGCAAGGTCCAAAGGAAACTCCATTTCCCCAAATTCCAAAAGGCAGAAGGGACAACGGCTATCTGTGGTGTGTATTAGCATTCCAAAGTGTATGCTGGCGTCCAGGCTCCCCCAGAATCACAAGTACTGGTTACACATTTCAGAGTCCATCCGAGCCCTTCTCACCTCCTCCCCTAACCTAAACTCCCCCAGCTGCTCATTCCCCCTTCTGATTTGGGCTGTGTTCTCTTTGTCTCCCTCCTTCCTGTCTCTGCTCTCCCACACTCCTCCCTTACGTAGCCCCACCCTGCTCTCTTCCTGCTTCTCTCATAGCCAGGTCTAGTATGCTAGCTATGCTCAGTCTGCTACGTTCTCTGTCTGTTCTGGACTTTTCCAGACGCCTCTCGTTGTTCTCTCTCTCATGTCTACAATAAAACCTTCCCCTTAACCATACCATGGAACAGTCACATCGTCAGTTTATACACAGACCACACTGGTTCTGTTTTTTTCTCTCTCTGGACCCTGTGCTTGCCCCTCACAGCACTACTGACATTATAAATATAATTTCCATGACAACACAACAACACTAAGTCACATAGACACGGGTTCAGTTCTCAGTACATACAAAGATGCTCACAGTCATCCATAACTACAGTTACAGGAGCTCTGACACCCTCTTCTGACCTCTGAAGGTACTTTGCACATATGGTACACATATATACATGCAGGCAAAACACTCATACACATTAAAACCAAAAATCCTTTATGCATCTTTTAAAATTATGATCTTAAACAAAGTATGTTTAGGAGCAGGGTATGCTAAGTATGTGGCTACTGACATGAATATGCATAGGTTCCCTGGATAAAGTCCCCATGCTTGCTTGGTTCACAGAGAAATGACCTCACGCTCTCCTTGCCTGCTGCAGATAGCAAGCTCTTGGCACTCTTTCACACCTTGGTTGCAATTATTTTACCTCTGCATTCACCAAGATGCAAACCTGCTGCATTTGGTCACCAAGCACACACAAGATGCCGGCAGCAGCTGGCTACTGCCGCTTCTTCCCCCGGCGCATTGCTGGCTAGCAGTGTGCTTTCCAAAAGAAAGGACAATTAAAACTTGGGCCACCTGCTCTGAGGACTGGGCTCAACCAAAGAGGGGTGGGGCCAGTGCTGGAAGCCAGGTATGAGCGTCTCCAGAGCCTCTGCCCCCTCTGGCCTTCCGACCTTCAGGAATGAAAGCATACATGTCAGGGCTGAAGCCTGGGCATCTGTTATGTGTGGAGGAAGCCCACTTGGGGGCACCATGGATTCTGTGGGTTCAGGACTTACCAGAGCTTGCTCTATGAGGAGACAGAACAGGATGGCGTTGCCCACCTCCCTTAGGCTCTGGAACACATCGGTCTTGAGTTCTGCGTATTCGATGATGTCCTTCAGCTGGTGGTGGAAGAACTCCAGGATCCCTGAGAGCACAAGGGGGAGCTCAGTGGGACAAGGGCACTGTTAACCAGGTTAACGGGACAAGCCAATTGAACCACAGCCCTAGACTTAGCAACCCTTTGCATGCCAGCGTCAACTCTAGACGAAGCTCAGGAGGCTGGCACCAAATATCCAGAGCAAAATCAAACACATCTATAATCCCAAATGAAACAGCTGTGGCCTATCTGTCCCTCCAAAAGGGACCTTAATTCCTAACAGCAAGATTATTATTTATAGGTGTTGTCTGAGTTAGGTATATCTGTCTATAATATCCTTTTATTACTCATAATATCAACTAGGCACTACCATCCCCTTTCACATGAGGTTCAACGCAGGGAAATGACACACCCATAGCCACACAGCCAGGAAGTGGCGCAGCTAGGCAGGGACAGCAGGGCCTCTGGCCTCATCCTTTTCCTGTTCTCAATCACGTGCATATGGAAAATCATGCCTTAGCTTTTGGAAACAAAAAAATTCAAGGCATCAAATTATAACTTCTGTCTTTTCCTATACTGAGTAGTCCAAAAAATAAAAGGACAACCCATTGCCTCTAACTGGCCTCAGTTTACCTATGTCACATGGCGCCCCACCTGGGGTACCAGCTACCTCTAAGCAGACAAACAGGAAGGCCTGCTAGGGTTGCTGCGGGCCACACATGTAAACCTTCTGTCCGCTGTTTAAACACGCTCATGCTTTGCAGTGCAACTGCAGCTGCCAGAAGTCCTGTGGGCATCATCACCGCCCTGCTTGAGGGCATTGCCACCGCACAGGGGGCTGAAACAGGTTGAAGGCTAGCCAGTCCGTGGCAGGCAGAGCCAGGGATGTCGGCTGCCTGACAGCTTAGAGGCTGAAATCTCCTGAGGCAGCCTTGGGTGTGCAGTGCTTCCCCGTCACCCACCTGGGGAGCCGTACTCGTGCCGAGGCAGACGGCATATTTTAGGCATCACTTCTATCAGCGTCTTCACATACTGCAGGATGGTACCTTGGAGCTGCAAGACAATACGGATGAGTGAGCAGCTGTGAGCCAGCCTGCTGCTACACTCGATACCGCTGGCCCGAATGCAGGGCCGCAGTGGACCGCAGGTTCTGCTGAGACTTGTGAGCAAAGCATTTAAAAGAGGGGACTCGCCCCCTTGTCCTTTAGAGACAGAAAACAGAGTGGACATTGTGAGGGATGTGGGGTGCTTCGGTATGGGTTTTTTTTTTTTTTCAGGGTTGGGAACGCTTACGATATGGAGACTAAACGAAACGCAGACAGGGAACTGCGGAGATTAATGCATGTAATCTAATTTAAGCATGGAAAATTCATAGCGCATTCCTCCGCGCGTGCAAGGCAAGACATCTTTAATCCATTACCTCATTTTTCTGTTCTACTCTGGGCTGGGTTCGGCAGCTCTTAATGACCTATAGCTTCTCACGGCTGCTCCTAAAGAACTAACTGAGTGAGAGAGTCTGGTTTATCCCTTACATGGTTGGTTATAAATTATTTCTCTTCAGGAACTCAAGATTTCCAGAGAACTCGTGTTTCCGTATTTTGGCCTTGCTTCAGCTGCACTACAGGGAATTCAATGAAGCTCCAGACGACCATACTTGGGGTACAGATGGAATGTTGGTAAAGGGATACAGAAGTCCCTGGAACAGTGGTAGCAGTGGTCAGCATGAACCCCCGGGGCACAGAGTATGATGATTAGAGATGTCTGCCATGGCCATGAGAATTTTAAAAAAAGGCAGCATGTGAATTGTGGATTTGCTATGCTACAGTCTTTTGTTGTTGCTGCTGTTGTTTCGATTTTTGTTTTAAAGGGCCTCATGTAGTCCAAGCCGGCCTCGAACTTACTATGTAGCTGAGGATGATCTTGGACCTTTGATCTTCCTGTCTCTAGTTGGTACTTCCTGTCTCATAGCAGCCAGCTTTATGCAAGTACCAGGGACTGAATCAAGGACCTTGTACATATCAGGCAAGCACTGTGCCAACTGAGCTACACACCTAGACAATCGTGCTAAATCAGTTAGCAGAGAGCATAGCTGGGCAGAATAAGCAGTGATCTGGCCTTGAATGTCAAAATCAGAATTTTTCAATTCAGTCAGCAAAAACAAGGAGTTCTGAGCCACAAATAGGGAGGCAAAGGTACAGGGCAAGAGATCTATGCTGGGTTAGAGACACAGCTGGGTTAACAGCATTTGCTGCTCTGCCTGAGGACCTGGGTTTGGCTCCAAGCACCTATATTAGGTGGCTCATAATTGCTTGGAACTCCAGTTCCAGGGGATCCATCGCCCTCTTCTGGTATTTGTGGGTACTGCATACACACAGGACGCACATACAGACAAGCAGGCGCACACAGATAAACATAAATAAAAAGGAAAGTCATATAAGAAGAGGTATAAAGAAACACATCAGAAGATGGGTAGAAAACACCAAGAAATAAGGACCAAGGACTCCCAGGGTGGCATCAAGTGACAAAGCTGGCATACCTCAGAATTGATTTTCAGCTCAGAAGAACCAATCCTGTATACAGCTACTGTGCCTGGGAATACCCACAGCAGCACTGTCCCCCCTTACCAAGCTCTTGACGATTTTCAGGAGTTCCTCCATGACCACAGCAATGCCTTGGTAGCCCAGCAGTCTGCAGATGGTCTTGAAGTGAGGGGGGCCAACGAAGTTCCTGTACGAGCTATAGATGTGGCTGTAGGCAATGTTGAGAGGCTGGAAACAGAGGTTGAGGAAAGTGAGTGTGGAACTCCCAAACGGAAGCTGGGGGGAGTCCTGGCAGGTACTCTGTTGACAGAAGAAACGGAATCTTGCTGCTCCCAGGGCTCCCTCATTGGTCCTGGAGTGAGATGTGACCAATGACTAGTGACATAGCAAATGTCACTAGGCCAGAGAAGCTGTTTCCCAGTGGGAGGGGGTAAAAACACCAAGCTAAACATCAAGAATACTAGGAAACCTGTCATCTGTAATTGTCTACAAACAAATCAAGCTGTGGACTAGGATAGCTGCCTTTCTCCTGGAGGTGGTTTTGTATCTGGAGATTAGATGTCGAGACGGGGCGACCAACTAGCCACCATCTTCTATGTTTGGTTGTTTTCATCTGTGATAGGAGGGGACTTGGGAAGGGCTGACCCCGGGAGTCGGGAGACATGTCTGAGAGCCCAGCAAGGTCAGCAGGCTTTCTGAGCCTGGTTTCCCACTCTGAATGATGGGTACTGGATTAAGTTAGTAGTGTCAAAACTCTGAAAGCAGAGTTCACTACAGTAAAGATACCTTGGATGCTCAGACGCAGAATACACACAGTAGAGCTCCTGAACTGGGGGACCCAGAGTTCTGGACTTGGGCCACCGTCATGCTATGGACCCTGAGGGATACCCTAACTGAATGAGACAGAGTTTAAGAGACCTTTCTGAGCTGGGTGTGGTGGTGCACACCTGTAATCCTGTTACTTAGGTAGTTGAATCTGGAATTCAAGACCAGCTTGAGCTACACAGTGAAATCCCGTCTGCCTAGCATGCATGAGGTGCTGGGTTCTATCCGTGGCACAGCTGCTGCTGAAGATGGTGGTGATACCTGTCTGTCTAAGAGCGCATGGCCCGTAGCAGGTCCTAGATCAGGCTGCTGTATTGGGAACCATTCATGCCATGCTTCATTGGGCTTCCCTGTGCATTTTCATTCAACGCACACAAAAATGACTGTGATTTGTAACGGTCTTAACCACGTTTCACAGATGAGGCAACCAAGGCTCTGGGTAGCCCGAACTTGGCTCCAGGTCATAGAGTCCCTAGGCGAGTGAGCTCTGCTCTGGAGCAGGTATGGCTGATTCTAAGAGCTCCGCTGTTACGTCTCCCTCTATTGTAGGAGTTGAAACCATCAACCTGTGATATCCAATTGCTTAGCTAAGGTTTCACTTGATTTCTGGGCATGCTTTTCTTTCCTGGTATTAAAATCTTGTGCAGGAACATGCCGATGTGAGCAGGCTGCACCTGCCACTCTACTAGCCCATCAGTTAGAAATTCTACGTGAATGAAACAGGACCCAGTATGCTGCAATGTGGAGGCTTGCAAGGCTCTCCACGCCCTCCCAAATCATCGGCAAAGGTTTAATTAGGTTCGGTGTGCATTCCGAGTTTAGGATGTTTGGTTACACATGAATTATCCTAACTGCATGAAGTGAGCATCACAGTTCTAGCGTGAAGGACAACTAGTGTCCCCGTCAGTAACTCGGATGCCTGCTAAACTGGGACACCTGTTACCTCACCAACTGAGTGTGTCTGGTGAGCTCCCCCCCTGCACACAGGGAGGCGTGGAGCATGGGAGTCTATACCAAGGAGCTGGAGCTGTCGAAGTAAGCTGCCTAACCCTAGGGAAGGGCATAGCCTTTGTCATTTTTGAATGTATGGGGTGGTTTAGGGAGGGAGGGAACTGCAGCTATTTCTGATTATGATGTCCACTAATGTCAGTGTTGAGTACTAAAAGCCTGTGGACTGTGGCTGCAAGAACCCTGAAGCCAGGTCATATATGTGTGTTTTTTTTAATGTGCACACTAAACCTATTCTAGTGCTTCTGTAACAGGCAGCATTACCAAGTATGAATGTGGAAAGGGGCATGAGGCTCATACACATAGGAGGTGTGATTTGGTTCAGATCCCACCCTCCACCCTCATCGTCAAAGCCTTATTCTGTATTCTTCCTTCTCCTTCAGAGTGGAGGAGTCTGGGAGCCAAAGAGACCTGACTAGAAAGGGGTACAGACCGTTCAAGGGAGGTGGAACAGCTCCCCATCCTGCTTGAGTTGTCTGAGGTATTTGTCACGACTCATGAAGCCATGATCTGTGGACCTGTTGCTGCGACCCTCCCAAATTTACACACTGAGATCCTAACCTGTTCCCTCCAGGTGGCAGCATGAAGAACTGGGGATGCTGGGTGGTTAGAGTCCTGGTGAATGGGGCTTGGTGTCTCCATAAGAAAATGCATGTGAGCTTGTTCCCTCTCTGCCATATAACAGGATGCCCGTGGGCAGACCAGACCTGGATCTGCCAGCACCCAGTTCTATGATCTCGCACTAGGACTTCTAGCTCAAGAGCTCTAAGCAATAAGTATTTGTCACATCAGCCACCCATCCTATGGTACTCTTGCTACTGCAGCCCAGATAGAGCTAAGTGCGTTTTACTCCATCTCAATAAGAAAGTAACCAAAACCCCTATTTTTCTATCATAGTCTAATTTGCTTATTTTTCAAAGATTACAAATGCAAAACCATGCTTTGAGTTTTCTCTTGCAGCTTTACCATACTAGGAAACACTAGAGGACAAAACTTCGGCATGGTCGTGGCCATGGGGACACGTGACAGAGCCCTTGGCTGGTCCCAACAGCCCCCTCATATCGGGCACTCTGGGAAGGAATTTCTGCTCTGCTAGCAGGGGGATTCCGGATGGATGTGGGTGATGGTAGTGGTGGCAGCAATTGGCCTGTTGTCTCTTCTGAGTCTCTATTTCTAAACCTTGAAACTGCATGATGAGCTCAAGGGTAAGCACAGCCATGGTGGGTTCAAATCCCAGGGTCCTATTTTGTACCTATTGTTTATTAGTATTTTTGTGAGGCTGACTCTCACTCTGTAGCCCAGGCTGGCTTTGAAGTTATGCGTATTCTGCTGCAGAGCCCTAATTTACTACTTGGAGGAACTCGGGAAAATTACTTCTAGTCCTTAAGAGGATGGTACTTGAAGTTTAACAGGTAAGGTATGTAAAGCCATAAGCATGATGCTTCGTTCTAGAAGTACCTATGGAAGCACTCATTAATCTTAGTTTGGCTGATAAACACCAAGAAAGTACTGTCTTGCTCAACCCCACTTGCCCCAGAAACTATGGCCACTGTGGTGATTCTCTCGATATAGGTTCAATACAGGAAGTCTAATTTATACAACACAGTGGGATACCCACAAGGGGACGGACCAAAATCAGAGCTGGAAGCAGCTGATAAAATAGATTTTGTTCAATATCAAAACATCACAAAAGTAAGAACTGTCCAGACATGTGATCTGGGCAGCCTGCACCCCAGGAAAAAGACTGGGATAGAGGTACTCTGCCGTTCCCTTCCAAAGTGTAATCTCCACTGCTCTCTCGATGGGTGCATGTCCATTTGAGCAGTCTCTCAAGTCTCCCTCCTCCCCATGACCTCCCAGCGCCCAGTACCTCCTAGTAGCACAAACAAAAAAATATCTTCAGGTATATGGAGACTGTTCAGCAGGCTGTCCCAGTTTTAGGCAGAGGGGAAACACTTTGGAATTACTTTGCCAGACAAGAGTTAAAAAAATGCTCCCCTCCAAACCCACTTGGTACACTTAGGAGGTCTCTGGTGCCAATCCTGTATCAGCCTAGAAGGGAAGTTTAGGCCTCAGCAGATCTAACATGAAATTTGCAGACTTCCACTTCACCTCCTAAGTGAACAAGCTCCCTGCCCCATCCCCCAAATCCAGCACATGCATGCAACAGGAAGCACACGCATGCGGAAAAAGACATGCACACACACACACACCCTCCAAGGTCACCCCTCTGACCTGCTGGCTCAGCAGGAGGCTGGGCCCTATCGAGAAAATGTGGGAATAGGGGAGCCTGGGCATTTTCTGAGGTTCAGCAAAGAAAAACAGGAACGCAGTGTGACTTGGGACACTGGACATTTGCCACTCGTCTCTCACACCAAGCCATCTCCACTCACTGACTTGGGCCACACCCACTGCCTGATGGGAAACTAAGTAGATTTCCTGTAGCCCATGAGAAACCAGATTTGTTTGAAGCTAGATGACACCAAGGAGATCATCAAGAAATAAACCAACCCAACTCAGGAATTATTACTAGGCAGTCCAGGTTACAGTTTCTGAAGAAGTAAATGGCATGTTTCTTTAAATTTTATGTATTATCATTGTATGTGTATGATATACAAACATGCGGCACAGTGAGTGTGTGGAGGTCAGAGGACAACTTCTGGGAGTCAGTTTTGAACTTAAGTCTTCCATGGCAGGAGCTTTCTTTCACCCACTGGGTCATCTCACTGTGTCACAAATAAGACTTTGAGGGGAGAGAGAGAAAAAGAGAAAGAGAGAGAGAGAGAGAATGAGAGAGAGAGAGAGAGAGAGAGAGAGAGAGAGAAACAATAGTAGCCAACTTCTAAAAAAATAAAACCAAAACTGTGGGGAAAATAGACCCAATGTAACAGTTATGACTACACCAATAGTGACAGCTCAGGCCTGTGACTCCAGGGGTGTCTGGACTGTACGGGCAGCCTAGCCCCCACCCCAGACCCCAAACTAAACCGAATCCAAGAAAACCTAACATCTACACCATTTTAAAAGGCAGTATACATAAACTTTTAATCTTGAAACCTCCATCTCTCACCAGACGGTTAGCCCAGCCAGCCACTCCACACAATAAATTCTATTTATCTGGCTAACCCAATCTGTAAGGATTTTGCATCTCTGCTCTCAGGAATCACGAATACTGTTTCGAAGATTTCCCAAGAGGAATTAAAACCCATCCTAACTTCCTGTTTGTTTCTCTAATGGATGCCGGTAGTCCACCAGCAAACTTGGGCCTCTGACTGAGGCTGGAGAGCCAGCGAGCTGTAGCTCAGCTCTCTAAAACCACTGCGGGTCAGTACTGACAGGGTGCGCGAGTACCACCCCAGACCATCCTTGGCAGAAAGACGGTTCCCAGGACAGGC